ACACCTGTACATGCTGTAGAGCTTAACTGTCACGCCGTTCTAGAAGCCCAAAGCCCTGGTGGCGTTGTGGGTGGTGATTCAAACTCAGCAGGTGCTTCAAGGAGGAAGGATACGCCTGTTTTTTGCTCCCATAAAGATTTATAGTCTCTGAAACCCAAAGGGGAAGTTTTCCTCTATCCTAGAGGGTCCTTATGAGTCAGACTTGGTGACAGTTGTTTAGTTTTGGTCTGGAAGTCATTTCAAGTTCCCATTTAGGCTACTTTGCTTTTGCACAATCCTGGCAAGTCGATTAGAAAACCTAACTCATTCTGCCAAGTGTACAAGTGTCACATAGGGTGACCACCTGTCCCAGTTTGCCTGGACCGAAAGGTTAAAACTGAGAACATTATAGATTATCTATGGGAGGCTGGTCACCCTCACCTGTTAACAGGTCTTCCCCATTACATTTAACACTGCCATCAAGTCAGTTCCAACTCATAGCGACCCTATAGAATAAGCTGGAACTGCCACTATGGGTTTTCCGAGACTGTAACTTTACAGGAGTAAAAAGCCTCATTTTTCTCCCGAGAGCTGCTGGTGGGCTCAAACTGCTGATCTGGTGGTTAGCAGCCCAATATGTAACCAATACACCAGCCCATCATGACTCCTACTAGAGGAGTCTACATTTTCTTGTGGACCTCCCCACCCCACCAGACTTAGAGGGTCACGAGGAGTCAGGAGTGAGTGGATGGCTGTGAGTTTCGCTCTGCAATGAGGAGCCCTGCTGGCATAATGATTAAGCTCTACAGTCAGTAGCACAAGTCCACACAGTGCCTCTGATGTTGCTCTGCACCTGTAATGATTATAGCCCAGGAAATCCTATGTCACCTGAGGTCACTGTGAATAGAAAAAGGTGTGCTGGTGGTGCAGTGAATTAAGTGTTGTTCGAGTGCTAACCAAAAAGTTGGCCGTTGAAAAGCATCAACTGGCCCATGGGAGAAAGATGAGGCAGTCTGCTTCTGGAAAGATCTACAGCCTTGGAAACCCTCCTCTGTTGTATTTTTTTTCTTTTTCTTTTTAAAAAAAATCATTTTATTGGGGGCTCGAACAACTCTTATCACAATCCATTCATCCATCCATCCATGTGTCAAGCACATTTTTACATTTATTGCCTTCATCATTATCAAAACATTTGCTTTCTACTTGAGCCCTTGGTATCAGCTCCTCATTTTCCCCCTCCCTCCCTGCCCCCTTCCCTCATGAACCCTTGATAATTTGTAAA